AAATTGTATTGAATATATTGACATGATATTTTACATAAATATGATCGTTATATCTTATATTATTTTTTTTAAAAAAATTATATTGAATATATTGACATGATCTTTTACATAAATATGATCGTTATATCTCATTTCAATAATTAAAATATTACACATATACTAAGTTTTTGAATCTAAATATTTTTTATTTAGCTTAGATGGTTCAAAATATCAAGAATAGATGGTACAAAGTTATAAAATTTATATACATTACTTAAAAAGTTTTTTAAAATAAGAAGATACATTTGCCTACCCTCACCAAAAGGTACATCCTCCACTGGCTTGAGTGATAAGAAGACACTGTCAACAGCACTAAATAAGGACTTGGCTTCTCTCCTCCATTGCACCTGCAGCAAAATTTGGATAATATGTAATCAGATTTATTAAAATTTTTTATATTTTTATTTTAATAAAAGTTAACAAAATAAAATATTAAATTTAGACTGTGTAAATTTAATCTAGACAATTCAAATTTCATTGCAGCTTCAACGAAAGGGCAAATGAGGGAGGCTAAGGAGGAGAGAAGCCGAGGCAGATAAACACAGTTCCAAGCAAAACAAAAACATATATAACAATATTATCATCTCATCATCATGGCATCGCCCATTCGAATTAGCGTCCAATGACTTTAGAAGAGAAATTGGAGGTCATAAAACCCATTCATCACGACGCAATCTTTTTGATGAAACCTTAACGATTCATTAAGCCACAGAATTTACTCTATGAGAATCCACCAAAAAAATATTGTAAATTCTTCCAAATTTCGTCACCAAATCAATTGACATTTAAGTAGTATCAGAGTTTTGACAAGGTAATTTTAAAATATAATGATGTTTATTGATGATGTTGGGTAAGACTAATTGAAGAGTTGAATTAACTTAACCTTAGTGTTCGTTGTTAGTAACAAAATACCAGGCGTGTTACAAATTATTCCCCGTAAATAACCAAATACCAAATGTGTTAGAGATGCTGAGCCTTAAATGATAACAAAAGATTCCCGAGCTCCCTTACTATAATTTACCTAAATGTAAAAGATACAAAGGAACTAGAATAACAAGTATTTGATTAACAAGAAAGGTGGATTACAAAGTAGTAAAGATTACAAAGCTAAAATCAAAGCTAAAAATTAAGAGTTACAAGTATAATGGATTTCAATAGTTGTTATTGTTCTTCAGTGTTGATTTTCTCCATGACCTTCTCTTCCTTTTATATTGGTTTATTTGAGATAGTTATTCCCATAGAATTCATGAAGTATTGGGGATTTAATAGGCATGGCCTGCAAAATTTGTGGCACGATCTTCCTCTTTGCAAGATGTATAGACTATCGTTCAACAACTAGCCTGTATTCCCAAAATATATGTGGATGATGGCCATGATCTTTCAAGATTCAAGGCTTGTTGAGCACACGTATCATGAGGCAACGGCCTAGATAAAGATTTCAAGCCTTAAAGGATTTATGGACTTTGAATTGACTTAGTCAGGTTATTTCTATTATGATCTGGACTAATTCTATTGCTGCATCACTTACAGGATATAACTCTTCAGTTACTCAGCCCATTTTCTGCTAAAGTCATTGTAAACAACAAGATAAGTGTTAAATAAAAAAAACAAAAACATTTTCAAGATAAAAAAGTAAAAAACATAACTTTGAATCACTGCATTTTATGGGCGTTTTGCTATAAATTCCCACATTTTTTTTTTGCTTTCTAGGTCTTTACTCTTTAGTTTTTTAATATTTTAGGTCCCTAAATGAACATAGTTAGAGGGACCTAGAACACAAAAAAAAAAAATTAAAAACCTATAACAAAATATTAGTAAAGTATAAGGATCCAAAATTATACTCCTTCTGTTCAAAAATATAAGACATTTTTTAAAGAGTTGGATATTCAAAAATATAAGATATTTTTAATCTTTTAAGATGTAATTATTGCATTTTTTTTTAAAAAATATCCCTATCGATAATAATTTTACATTTATTGTAAGGTATTTAATAATAGTAAATATAAAAAAATAAAATTAATTAAAAAATAAGTAATTATTTTATTAAAAGATAAGATTCAATTAAAAATGTTTTATATTTTTAAGCAAAGAAAGTTATTTTTTAAAAAAAATATTAATGTTTTATGACGAATACAGTTATTGCAAGTGGCAAGACCAAGACGATGAACCTAGTACTACTGTAGTAGGTAGAGTGATCTGAAACGAGCCGCGTAACACCATGTGGGCATCCTGGTTTAGTCTAACCTTGTCAAAAGTTGCTAGGTATCAAATTGGTAAACAGCTATGCGGCGTCCTCTTTTTATTTGTTAATTTCTCCGAGAAGGAAGCCATGCCGGTGGAGATAATTTATGCTTCTTTAGTTAAAAAATATAATTTTTTAAAGAATTAAATATTAAAAAATAAAATAAAATAATAAATTTGATCACAAACTATTTTTTAAAGAACATTTAACTATCAGATTATATAAAATAAATTACAAACTTTTTGAAAGATTGCATCCAGTAGCCCCTCATTAACTTCAATTGACGGACTTTATGCGAGTCTCGCAATGACACATGGCACAACATGTCACTATAGTAAAAGTGTAAATTTAGCTACGAACTATTTTTCTGACAGCATTGGATAGCCTCTACTACAAAAAACGGACCATCTAACATCTTCCCCTCAATTTTGACTAAACATCATTTATTTTCGTACTTATGAAGCCCACAAAACATTAATATATTCAATCTTCTTAATTTTGTTCTTAATATAAGTTTTAAAAGAAGAGGTTCAATGAGTTCTTATCTAAAGACCTTCACAAGGACGATGTCAATGAAGTAAAAGCTTGATTTTACTATGCATAAGAGGAAGCTTGATTCTAGCCTGATTTAGTCATGAATTATTTTTTCTACTTTATTAGCATCGTCTTGGTGAATATCTTCAGATAAAAACTCATTGAACCTCTTCTTCTGAAGCTTATATTGAGAACAAAGGCAAGAAGATTGGAGATATTAATATTATGTGGGCCTCATAAGTATGAAAATAAACAATATTTGGTTAAAATTGAGGAGAAAGTATTGGATGGTCCTTTTTTTTATAGTAGAGGATACCAAGCGCTCCTAAAAAAATAGTTCATAGCTAAATTTGCACCTTTATCATGCTGATGTGTCGTGCCACATGTCATTGTGGACCTCACATAACGTCCATCAGTTGAAGTTAATGACGGGCTACCAGATGCTCCCTTTTTGAAAGTTCATGATTTATTTTGCACAATCTAATGGTTTAGGCTAGCAGATACTTCTCAAAAAATAGTTTGTAACTAAATTTGCTACTTTACCCTAAAAAATATAAGATATTTTTAATTTTTTAAGATGTAATTATTGCTTTTTTTAAAAAATATCCCTATTGATGAATGACTTTATATTTATTGTAGGGTATTTAATAAGAGTAAATATAAAAAGGTAAAGTTAGTTAAAAAATAGATATTTATTTTATTGGGAGGTAAGATTTAATTAAAAATATTTTATATTTTTAAATGAAGGGAGTATTAGTTAGGAATTCCGTGTCAAACTAAACAAACCCCTCTAATTAATAATTTTTATTGACGAGGATAATTTTGAATTTTTAAAAATAAATCATTTTGACTAAATTCATTCATTTAAGCAAAGTTGTTATTGGTTTTTTATATTAAAAAAGACTGAGGGATCAACAAGTATTGAACCTATGAAATGGCAGGAAAATATATATTTAAAAAAGAAAGGACGAGAGGGAATCATATCAAAACGCATATAGAGATGCAGCGGCGGAGAGTAAGTGGAGATTTTGGTGGGCGCTCAATCGGTTGGATCGAGAAAAAGCTATCCCAAAAGATATAATATGCCTATGCCCACAAACCACGCCGCATCGCTCTGTCCAAATTCTTTCTCTGTTCAAAATATTACGAATGCATTTGATTCCATATGCCAATATTTGGCTCCAAGATCATTGCCCGCCATATTTACTCCTGCATTCACGTTCTGTCCAATAAAGTCCACTTTATAGCCTAACACAGTGCTTGATTCCCCCTACAAAATCCACCCCGTATACTCTCTGTCTCTCCTAAATCCCAGTTCAACTTTTCCCTGCATATTTTTCCTTCTATTCCGATCCATTGCTTCAACGCCGTCTTCACGCTTTCTTTGCTCTTTTGACCACTCATCTTTATGTGTCCTTAACGTTTCCAAGGCCGTCTGTGTTTATATATAATATATAATTTGGACATATGGTTGATGCCATCCATGACTCCACTCACCTCGGTGCAAAACGTGCAATCTAGATACGATGCACCAAATGTTCCCATTTTCTATCTATTTTTTTTTTTGGCATCTCATGTATTTCTATCGTCCCATTTTTATGATATCTAGCCGACTCTGGCATATTCATTAATCAACATATAATTATCACAACAATATGAAACAAACATTATATGTTTTTACCTAGACGACTCTTCATTTCAAAAGTAATCAGTGATAAACAAACTATAACACAGTATTAATTAATTAATACTTAATTCAATTCATCCTAGGCAAACACATACATTCATTTCCTGGACCATGGGATACAGGGAGCACGTTCCCCTTCCTTCTCTTGGGCTCGCCCTGGTTTTAATTTGATACATGAACGAACTGAATTGATAACACGGTAGTAAAGTTCGTACGGTAAAGAAGTTCATGAGTGCCGGAAAACGACGTCTGCGTTCAACTTGCATCCGCCACGGCGCCCACCCACGCGTGCCTCTCTCTATTCATTTTTCCTTTCCCAGCTTTTCATGCGGTTTTACACCTCCTTCTTTTCTTTTTTCCTGAAGAAAAGCTGTACTACAGCAGTCTCTTTACTTTTATTTTCTGTTACGCTGCCCTTTCATTTATTTATTTAAAAGGATGATCATAAAACATCTTAATAACGGCGACGGAATCCACAAGCTCCAAACCTGTGATGGGTTAAGATTAAATGCTCTTTTCCTTTATACATCACAAGTTAATTAACAAACTCGATCGGTGTGACCCCATAAAATTCGAGAACACAGAGATTCTCCACTCTTGATTTAATATTAATTAATAAAGCTCCAAAAAGAAAAAGGATAGAGGTGGTGTTGTCATTCATTCAGATAAAACCTTTTCGTTGTTGATGATAGCCATTGCGAGCATGTCCGTTTCCTCCTTTATCCCAAATGAACTCTTTCATGTACGACTCGAATTTTTCAACCATGGCCTCGGGCACTGATATCATCACTCTCACCGCATCAGAATCACCCGTCACTGGTAAAAACAAACAGTAAATATCACTGGTCAAAGGCCCCATTTGCAGTGCCTTCCCTCCTCCAAAGTCCACCTCCTCTAACCCTAGCTTCGACCACTGTGATATTACCAAGCTAGCCGAGAGATCCGTTTCTACCGTTTTGTCCTCCAACAAATCTATCATTGACCTCACATGCTCATCGTCCACCCTCGCTTTCCCTTGCTGCACCAGTTTCACGCCATTGTGAAGGCCGCCCTCAAGCAACTCGTCCACTGTGCTCTCGGCGCACGCTAGCACGAATCCGTTCCCAAAATACCCCTGAGGGATTTCTGGGTTCAGCTTTTTGCGAACGTTGACAGAGAAAAGGAGCTTCACCTTGATCAGGTCGGGGGATCGGTCCAGTGATCGAACCCAGGAGCGCCACGTGTGCGAAGCCAGGGCTTCGAAGGTCGTGCACTTCACAGCGCACTGCTTCTTAAGATGAAGGAGATGAGAAGAGGTGAAAGTGAAGCACGTGGCCACCAGGGGCTGCGACTGCAATAACTTTACCAGGTCCACCTGAGACGAGTTACTCTTTGTGTATACCGAGTGAGAATACTTCACCTGTGGAGGATTTCGAGGCTTTAGGAGGTTTCGACAGTGGCAGGGCATTATTGGCAGGTCACAATTCGGCGACGTGGTGAGGTGGGCCCATGCGTTTAAAAACTGAGACGAGCCTATGCCGTCGCATATACAGTGGTTGATGGCGGTACACACCACCATTCCACCGCACCGGAGACTCGTCACCTGTTAGGAGGATAATAAGATCGAAGAGGATATTTTGGTCAGTTTAATTGAAAAATTAAAATTACAATAATGATATAAAGAAAGGTGGAACAGCCACATATGTTTTCGTGAAAGCAAGAGGCATATGCTAACAGCTTACAGCATTTCATCACACAGATTCCAACCTCGTCACCTCCAGACATGACTTTGCAAGTAAATGTACAGGATGTGACTATGACCACACAAAGTTGAACAAGAGGGAAGATAAAAGTTGGCATCAAGATTTCAGGAAGGCAACTATTTTGGCTTAACCATGGTTGTCGAGTTAATTTCATGCATTCAAAAAAGAATGATTTGCGGGGAGAAATGTTTAAACTTAAAAGAGAGAGCTGATCAATGACGTTGATGATTGCTTTGAAGCGTAATCATGACAGGTGAGCACTGAACCAGTTGGGGAATACAAGCTTTAATTCCAGATATCCGAACACCCTTTTTTAGGCAGGGAATCCGCCATAACATGCTCCCACCGTTTTCATGTATAAAAATATTTTAACCAATTCTCTTAAAAAATAGTTAATCTTGAAAATTATATTTAAAATAAAAAAATTTGAATTAAAATATTCTTATAACTAATCTTTAGCTTTAGAAAGAATTGAATTTGTCTTGTAAAAATAAATTTTGATTATATAAAAGAACAATTCAAGCAAGATGTTATAAACCTTTTTAAATTATTGTTTTTCTTGTTAAAAGAAAACTATATATTTGCTCATGTATGAACCAGAATGAGCATGCTAGTAGCACATCTGATAAACTTAAAGAACTAAATTATATTCTAACTTGTCTGACACTAAAATACACACAGAACTAACAACTGTTTAAAATTATTTTTATTTTATTATTATAAAAATTAGTGTTTTGTAGAACATGTTTTGAGAATAAAAAAATAATAAAAAAAGTATTTTTTTATTTTTTCTCATTCTTTAAAACACTAATCACAAAATAATTAAAAGTTATTTTCATTTTTTCTATTTTTTAAAACAATATTTTATTTATTTTTTTCCAAAACACTTTAAAAATACATTATCAAATAGATTTTTTTATTATCTTATTCTGACAAATAGACAAGGCCTGACATTTCTACTGACCGAAAAAACTCCATTTATTTACTTAAATTCCATGCATATATAAGCCACGAAGTAGTGAATGACATGTACATATTCATTTCTCTTTTTCCCTTATTGTATAGGAAAGATAAACAACTCTGGTGCAGCAGTTCTTGGGATCAAGGTAATTAAATTTAGAAGTCACCATATTTCTCCATTTCGAAGGATGATGAAACAAGGTGTGCTGTAGCCAGTTGGGTTTCACTGAAAAAGCCCACAGAAGAAAGGAAAGCAGATTAAGAAGAATAGGAAATCAAGGAATGGAACAAGAGTGAGACCTGGACAATAAGAGGAGGAACGTCCAATAAACTCTGAGCTTCCACCTTATACAAGAGCTTCTTCCAGGACTTATTTGGCATGTCGGAACATTCGAGCAATTCGTCGGCAGTGATGGGCATGAAAGCTTCAACAAAAAGAGCACCTTCTCCGTTGCAGTCCACGTGGAGCTTCCCTTGGTGTTCATCGCTGGGCCTCAGTCTCCCAGCTAGTGGGTAGTAATCCACTAGAACTCTGGACAGAGAAAGCTTCAACACGTCGGAGCTCACAGATTTGCGGAACAGATAAAAATACTTAATGGAGAATCTGAGGAACTTCTGATCGTCGAGGTTAGAGAGATAGAGAGAGTGATTTGGTGTAGCAGCGCTTGGGTGGATTGTGATAGGCGGATTAGAATATAAACAATCTGGAAGGTGTCTGGATTTTAACATTCTTGGCTCTCGAATCTTAGTCAGTACTGTTGAAGTTTTCAGATAACGATGAAGACGATGGTTGGGTGGAGATGAAGAGAGACGGAAGATTAGAAGAATGGGACAAGGAGAGGGAAGAGTTAGATAAGACTTTTTAGAGGACATGGCAATAGCTAGCTAATTTGTAGACAAGGGAGACGGCGTGTCATTTTTAAAATCTAAGTGCGATGAGATTTCTATTAGAGGATTTAGATTTAATAACTTTATTTAATATAGACATCAAGTGTATGTATTATTTACATCATTGAAATTTAAATCAATAGTTTAAATACTAGTACAAAATGTGATAATTAAACCTCCACATCTACATCAATTATAGTGCTTACGATGTAGAAATAAGATGCGGTGGCATTTTCATAAATAAAAAAATTGTGAAAAAACATCTACACCAGTTTAAATCTTAACCAGTGTAGATATTAAAATCTACAGCGGGTATAATAATAATCGGTGTAGATAAGTATTATATTTTAAAAAATATAATTTCTTTTTTTGATATCTACACCAATTATTCATAAACCTGGTGTAGATGTATTATTATTAAAAAAATATTTTTTAATTTAATCATATCTAAACTAGTTGGACTTGGTAATCAATGTGGATATGTTTGAAATTTTTTATCCCATATCTATGTCGAATATTTCATATAATCGGTGTAGATATGAGTTCAAATTTTTCAAATGTCTCAAAACCCTTCTCTACCGCCTTAGATGTCTTTGCTTTTGGTCTCGGTCTCACCCTCTCCTCTGATAATCTCTTGGTCTCACTATTTTATTCTTTGCTATTGGTCTCACCCTCTCCTCTATCAATCTCTCGGTCTCTCAGTCTCACTATGCTATGCAACTATGTTTCTTCTTGATTTAGACTTGGGCACTTGGCCCTCTCAGTCTTACTGTGCTCTACAACTCTGTTTCTTCTTGATCTGGACTCGGCCTCTCAGTCTCACTGTGATCTGGACTTAGCTTCTTCATTTTGTGATTTTCTCCTTCAACTGCTACGCGTAATTTCCCCTCATTGAGAAAATTACTCTAGCCTCTCTCAGGTACATATATCTTCATTATATTTCTGTGCTTCCTTCTTCTTCTTCTTCTTTTTTTTTTGCCCCACTTCATGTAACAATGATTATGATAAAATATTGTTTCTTCTATAAGCAAGCCTATTTCCTTTTTTTCTCTCTCTTTTAATCGTACAGCTTCATTTGCTTTAGATATGTTTTGTGATTTTTGTGATTTTAAAAACTTTATCCTTTAAATTCAGCCACTCGCTATAAAAGAACAATCATTCAATCTAAAATTCAAAACAAACCAACTCAATTAGCTTTTAGAAACTTGATGAAACTTAACTCTCTAATAATTCTCTTCATGCACAGACACATCATATATTATTTTGAGTTCCCTTCCTCCAATTCTTGTTACCAAATGGGACATCAATATAAAATAGTGTTTGGAATTGAAGTACTGTACTTGAAACTCCATTATTTCTAACTTTGCTTTTTTCATGCTAGAGACTTCTCTGATGTCTCTGTTATTTGTTTTTTGCCTGCAACTTGTAATATCAATTATAGTAGACAATTTAAACTTTGAATCTCTCATAGAGATCACGGGTAGTGAAGTGCGAGCAAACAAAATTATGGAGAGTAAGAAAGCTTTTTCATGCTTATTAAGCCATCCAATATTTGAAGAGTCTCATTGGAGTTTGATTAATGAAGTTGAGCCAGGAAGGATCTCACAAGAGTGATAAAGCTTTCCCAATGAATATTTTAATGCAATTGCATACTTAAAATATATAAATCCAAAATCATTGATTAAGCTAATGCAGTTACCTTAACCTTATTGTTTATGTTGTGGCCTGTAGGGGAAATATTATTGATGAGATATTGAAGAAGGCTGTCTAATTAGAATGATGCATATGATCACTTAAATTGTTTTCATTCTCAATCAGGTCAATAAGCAGGTCTTTCTACGACCGAGTCAATTTAGATTATTTTCTTGTAATACCAAGCAATTATTATTTGTGCCATAGGTTAAAAATGAGAGTAATTTATAGTAATATTACGGTACTCAAAAACCCTTTATATCTTGACTTTGCTTCTCTTAATTAATATAAATAGGGACAGGGGACTAGTATAGTGTGAGCATATATATAAGAGGCCTAAGGCCATTAGGCATTGCATGTGACTGTGTTGTGGTTAAAAAAATATTTTTTTCTCATATTTTTAATTATAAATTTATTGAAAAGTCTAACTTTTAAGGGAAATAATAGTGGGAGATTTTATTGTCCATGTAGGAATCATTTGAATGAGAGGCAACTAAATGCAAATGTGATATATGAACACTTAATTTATGAAGGGTTTCTCAAAAGTCATAAAGTATGGATATGGCATGGTGAAAGACTGAACATGCCAATACCAAGTACATCTCAAGCGCGGGATGTGAATGTTGATGATGATGATGATATGGTTGATTGGTTGGAAGACATGATTCGTGAAGTAGGTAAAGAGGCCTTTATGCAATTCTTGACATATAATAATATGTGCAGTGATGCAAATGCACCTTTGTACCCAGGGTGTGAGGAATATAGTTTGTTGAAAGCAGTGTTAGAATTGGTGAACTTAAAAGCTTGATCTGAATAGAGCGATAAGAGTTTTATAGAAATATTGGAGTTGTTGAAATTAATACTTCTAAAGAAAAATGTGTTGCTGGTTCATTACTATAAGGTGAAGAAAATTCTCTGCCCACTCAGCATAGAGTTTAAGAAAATACATGCTTGTCTAAATGACTACAAACTGTATAGGAAAGAGCATCAAGAAAAGCAGAAGTGTCCAATATGTGAGACATAAAGGTATAAAGAGAACAAAGATCCTGTATAGGTGCTCTGGTATCTTCCAATTATATCAAGATTTAAACAATTGTTTGCTAATGAAAATGATGTGAAGATTTTGAGATGGCATTCAGATGAGAGGATTTTTTATGGAAAGCTCCAACATCTAGCTAATTTAAAATTATGGAAGAAAATTGACAAATTATTCCTCGAGCTCAATAATAATCCAAGGAACCTCAGGCTTGGACTTAGTACGGATGACATGAATCCTTATAGTAGCCTTAGCAGCATACACAGCTCATGGCTTGTTGTGTTAGTAATTTATAACTTATCTCCTATGTTTTGCATGCAACACAAGTATATTATATTGTCTATATTCATTTTGAGACCAAAACGACTAGGGAATAACATTGATGTTTACCTAAGACCCTTGATTGAAGACTTGAAAAAGCTATAGGAGGTAGGTGTGGATGTGTTCGATGTAAATGAAAAGGAGGTATTCAAGCTGTATGCAATGATCTTTTACACCATAAATGACTTTCTTGTATATAAAAACTTGTCTGGTTATAACATTAAGGGGCATAAAGCATGTTCAATTTGTGAAGCAGGCATATGCTATCATCAACTTCATCATGAAAAAAAGATAATTTATCTTGGCCTTAGAAAATTTCTTGAAGAGAGTCATTATTATTGTAAAATGAATAAAGCTTTTTTTGGTGGGTAAGAGCAGTAAGCTACCCTGAAGCCATTGACAGGAGAGCAAGTCTATCAATTGGTGAAAGATGTTAATGTTACCTTTGGTAAAACTATAAAGAGTAGTGAAAAAAATTTAGAAAAAGAGGTCTATCTTCTTTGACCTTCCTTATTAGCGTTATCTTAATGTGAGGCATTATATTGATGTCATGCATGTGAAGAAGAACATGTGTGATAGCATTGTTGAAACACTTCTCAACATACCGAGAAAGTCTAAGAACGGTATGAAGGCAAGATTGGATTTGGTGAATGTGAAAATTAAAGAGGACTTACATCCAAGACTAAATGGTAAGAGGACTTAGTGTCCCTCGACTGAGCATACTTTGTGCAATGATTAGAAAGTAAGCTTTTATGACTGCTTATACGGCATAATAGTGCCATCAGGATATTTTTTAAATTTTAAAAAGCTTGTATCGATAAAAGATTCAAAATTAATAGGCCTCAAGTCTCATTATTGTCATGTCTTAATGTAGCAACTACTACTGGTAGCTATTCGAGGCTTCTAGAAAGATGAATTAAGAGACGTCATAATTAGGGTTTTCTTTTTCTTTAATGCTATATGTCATATAGTCCATGACATTGAAGAATTGAATGAACTAGAAAATCAAGCATATCTTGTCTTGTGCCAACTTGAAAAGCTCTTTCTTCCATCATTTTTTGACATTATGATACATTTAATTATTCATTTAGTAAGAGAGATAAAGTTGTGTGGCCCTGTTCATTTATGATGGATGTATCCAATTGAAAGAATAATGAAAGTCTTAAAAGGATGTGTGAAAAGTCTATGCCATCCTGAAGCATCAATTGTTTAAAAATGTCTCTGAAGAGGCGACAGAATTTTGTCAAGATTAATTGAATAATGTATAACCTGTTGGGTTGAGGTAATGTGATATCAAAGATCGTAGGCGCAGCATGTCTGTGAAGACCGTAAATCTGCATAAATTGTAATAAGCACACTTACATATTTTGAATAATGTTGATCAAATTTAAGACTACATAAATGTGCATAATGAACTTGTAAGGGAGCAAAGCAGTTGAATTAGGACGACTGAGCAAAGACTGATTAAGGAGCATAATAGTACTTTTGCAAAGTGGTTGAAACAAAAGGTTGAGAATGAAGAATGTGTTTCTGATATTGCTAAGGTCTGGCACAAGGTCCTAAGTGTGATGTTATATGAGAGCCTGTATTTAATATTAATAGGTAGTTGTTCTACACGAAGTCTCTAGACAACAGGAGTAATGTGCAAAATAGTGTGTTATGCTAGTGGCTTCAAGCATGCACTTCTTAAGTGGAAAAGACTCGAATCCTTTATTCGTATCCATGCCTTATTATGAGGTTATTGAAGAGATCTAAGAGGTTGACTATATTAAATTTAGAATTCCTATGTTCAAATGCAAGTGGGTTGATGTGAAAAATGGTTTTCATCAGGATAGTTTGGGATTTACATTGGTAAATCTAAATACTCTAAGTTTTGACAATGAACCTTTTATTATGGTAGACCAAGAAAAACAAGTGTTTTATGTTACAAATCCAAGAAATGAAAGATGGT